CCGAACCCATACCTAATATATCCATCAATTATTTTATATAAAATATTAAATATTTTAAATTGATAAATGTAATAATTTCCAAAGTAAAGAAATTGAAAAATAAAAAGGCAAGGTTAGGTTGGGCCGATATTGTTTACTATAAACAGTTTCATCGGTTCCCTTTTGAATTTTAACCAAGCCAACTTAATTGGATCCAAATTAGAATAACTGGGCAGATATGGCAAATTATTGGGTGGAACATGGTCCACACAATGTTATGTGGACCATAACAAAAAGTATATTTTTAATATATTAAATGTACATTATTTTTGTATTGAATGTACATTATACAATATAATGCATACTCAGAACAAAATAATGTACATCTCCTGAATACAATGTATATTATTTTTATACTGAATGTACATTATTTTTTTACTAAATGTACATTATTTTACAGTATACAAAATATGGTCCACACAACTTGTGTAGACCATTGTCCATACAATAATGATTCGGCAGATAGCAGGCTCAATTGGTATATGGTGGACCATGGTCCACACTGGTCCATACAGTTGTGGTCTAAAAATGACGTCGTTTTTTTTTATTTTTTATTTTTTATTTTATATATATATATATATATATATATATATATATATATATATATATATATATATATATATATATAAAGAAACGACAACCGTTATTTTTAACAAATCTTGTATTTGTAATGTGCTCAGAATAAAATAAAACTACAAGTGTATCTAAAATAAAACTGAATAATATGTCTCACGTATTGAGTGTATATTATCAAAAGAAACTGTAGTTGGATTGAAATGATATTTTATTTATGCTGAAATGAAACTACAATATGTATAAAATGAAACTAAATAACATGTCTCACATATTGAGCAATCATTATTATGTGGACCATATTTTGTCAACTGTAAAATAATGTACATTCAGTACAAAAATAATGTACATTCAGTTTAAAAATAATTTACATTGTATTCAGGGATATACATTATTTTCGTTCTGAGTGTACATTATATTGTATAATGTACATTCAGTACAAAAATAATGTACATTTAGTATATTAAAAATGTACTTTTTATTATGGTCCACATAACATTGTGTGGACCATGGTCCACACAATAATTTGCCCATATTGAGTGTATATTGTCAAATAAAACTGTAGTTGAATTGAAATGATACTTTAGTTGTGCTGAAATGAAACTATAGTATGTATAAAATGAAACTGAATAACATGTCTCATATATTGAGTTATATTGCCAAATAAAACAGTAGTTATATCAAAATGATACTTTATTTTGTGTTGTAATGAAACTACAGTGTATATAAAATTAAACTGAATAACAATTTCACATATTTGTATATTGTTCAATGAAACGGTAATTGAATTAGAATTACACTTTAGTGGTGTTGTAATAAGAATTCAGTGTGTATAAAATGAAATTCTATAACATGTCTCACATATTGAATGTATAATATCAAATAAAATTGTAGTTGGAATAAAATGATACTTTAGTTGTGCCGAAATGAAACTACAATGTATATAAAATGAAACTGAATATGTTATACAAACATAATTAATTAGACAGAACGGGTGTTGTTTCTTTTCATGAAAAGAAACGGTATTGCTTTGGACCATAGTCCATAGTAAAATTTGACTACCAGGCTAGCTTATTTGAGACCACTAAAAAAAATGAAAGTCGTCTCTAGTTTTCGACCGCTCGAATTTCTACACGGCCGCTGCCTCCGTGAAGCAAGTGGATCAGAGGCGGCGTCTGATCGTCTTCTCCTACTGCCATCTCCACCGTAGACAGCGTCCGCCTTCATTGTCTTCTCTGCCTTCACCGTCTTCTCTTCCATTCTCCACCTTCACCACCAATTACGCCTTGCCCCACCACTCCATCTCTACTGCTACCGGTCGTTTCTCCCTCATTAACCGACAAACCATTATGATGTGGGGAGTGATTATGATATGCTAAAAGCAAAAAGGGATGATTAATTAGAATATATTAAAGGAAACAATTGATCATATGATTCACTAAAAGATTAAAGAAAAAAGGAATAAGGGTAAAATAAGCCACTGAACTGCACACGCGAATGCAATTAGGTCACTGAACCTAAAAAATCTACAATTGGATCCCTAAACTAACCAATTTCATTTAATTTGTCCATTTTTCAAGTTTCTCAAGTTGCTAACAGGTTACCCCTCCACCTCGTGCGGTGTGTGGAAAGCGGCGGAGACAGCTCTCGGTTCTTCGACGCAGGTGAGGTGTCTCAATCTTTTGGGGCAGTTCCAGTCCTTGAGACAAGGAGATAGCACTCCATCGGAGTACTTGGGACGAGCGCAGTTGCTGGTTGAAGAACTCGCCCTGGCCGGCCGGAGCTCTCACAGAACAAAATTTGTACGTGTTCAAGGGGTTGCGGCCGGAGCTCAGGGCGATGGCGGCTTCTCTGGCAGTCACCGGCACGCCGGTGTCGATTCCCCAACTGGCCGATTACTTGTAGGCGCAGCATTTCATCCATGCGGATGATTATCTGGCCGGGTCGTCGGTGATGATAGGCGTCGCACCTCAGGCACTGTACGTCGGACGTGGTAGACGGCAGCATGGCGATGATGGCCGACACAACCGCGGTGGACAAGGCCTTGGTGGAAACCAGCGTTGTGTCCATGGTGGTCGTGGCCGAGGAGGCGGCGCGCCGCGTTGCCAGATCTGCCGGTCACAAGGGAATAAGGCCGTGTATTGTTTCCGGTGCTATTTCGAAGCTCCACCGTCCTAAGCGCATGTCGCCGTCGCAGGAGAGGCTGGTGCATCAAGTGTTGGTCATGCGTTAATCCCGTCTGTTTCAAAGTCCTTAAAATTATCTGATATTTTGCATGTTTCTGAACTGTCTGTGTCATTGTTATCTGTTAATCGTTTCACCAAAGACAATAATTGCTTTTTTGAATTTCATCCTACGTTCTTTGTTGTGAAGGACTGCAAAACGCAGGCGGTGCTTCTTAAAGGACTTAGCTCTGGGGGCTTATACACACTGTCAGTTCCGAGGTCTCATTTCGCGTTTGTTACAGCCCGTGCATCTTCCGTGATCTGGCATCAGCGTCTCGGTCACCCTCACAGTCAAGCTCTCCAAAGTGTCTTACAGGATTGCCCGGTTGAATCTAATAAAAATGTAGTTTCTACTTTATGTTCCTCGTGTCAGCTTGGTAAATCATGTCGATTTCCATTAGATAGAGTACCAAAATCTAGTAATAATGTATTATACCTCATTTACACAGATATTTGGGGCCCCGCACCTGTTCTTTCTGCGTAGGGGTGCTGCTATATTGTACTCTTCGTAGATGATAACACCCGCTTTTGGTATTATCCTCTGAGACTCAAAACTGACATTTATAAAGTGTTTGACAATTTACGGGCTATGGTAGAACGTACCTTTTCACGTTCTATCAAGTCCATCCAATCTGATTTTGGGGGGGGGGGGGGGGGAGGAGTATCTTCGCTTACATAAACTCTTTACCTCGTTAGGGATCGTTCACAGAAAGTCATGTGCCTATATACACGAACAAAACGTCCGGGTAGAGCACTGGCATCGACATATCGTCGAGACCGGTTTGGCTTTAATGGCCCAAGCATCTGTCCCGCAACGGTATTGGGACTATGCGTTTGAAACAGCCACTTATCTAATAAACCGTCTACCATCCTCCTCGCTACAGTTTAACACACCCTATTTCCAACTATATAAGTCGGCCCCTGCATACACATATCTACGTGTATTCGGGTGCCTTTGTTATCCATATCTCCGGCCCTATAACCATCATAAAATTGAATATTGGTCAGCTCCTTGTGTCTTCTTAGGTTACCCACCGTCGTTTCGGGGTTATCGCTGCATGGACCCAAACACTGGGAAAACCTATGTCTGTCGCCATGTCCGCTTCGATGAAGCTAACTTTCCTTTTGCAGTAGCTCCTTCTATGCAGGAAACGGCTCAAACAACCACGACTAGTCCACCTTGGGGCTCTAGTCCTGTGCTACATGGTGGAGTCCAGGCTATACCTGCACCTCCGCCTCCTCCTAGCTCAAGTATCCCAACTCGTGCACCCAGAAAACAGTGCACTAGGACCGAGCCGCAACAGCGGGCGCATGTTATGCGCCTCCGACACATGACACGGGCACAGGCGAGCAATTTCATGCCTTAACTGCTTCCTCCGCTACTGCGGACTCCACTTGTTACTCTAAGGCAGTAGGGCACACTCAGTGGCGTGACGCCATGGACCAGGAGTTCAATGCGCTATTGCATAACAATACCTGGCGTCTGGTACCCGCCACACTTGGAATGAATATTGTAGGGTAGAAATGGGTGTTTCAGACGAAGCACAACGCCGATGGCACCGTTGAGCGCTATAAAGCGCGGTTGGTGGCAAAGGGGTTTAATCAGGTAGCAGGCGAAGACTTTTTTGAGACTTTCAGCCCGGTGGTCAAGCCGACCACAGTTCGGCTCTTACTCTCCTTTGTTGTTTCCCATGGCTGGACTCTCCGGCAGTTGGACGTTCATAATTCCTTCTTGAATGGGCACCTGACAGAGACGGTTTATATGAGTCAATCACCAGGATATGAGGATCCTGATCACCCGGATCACGTTTGTCACCTCCAACGCTCCTTATATGGGTTTAAGCAGGCCCCGAGGGCTTGGTTCAAACGCCTGCATGATTTTTTGCTTGTTACAGGTTTTGTGGCATCCAAGACAGATGTCTCACTCTTTCATTATTCAGCAGGTGCCTCCCGGGCATTCTTACTTGTCTATGTGGACGACATCATCATGCTCGGGGATGACACTGCCTTGATTGATTCTCTTCTTCAACGTCTTGCTTCTGCGTTCAAGATACGGGATCTGGGAGACCCAACTTTTTTCTTGGGATTGAAACTCTATCTATTTCAGGGGGCATGGTGCTCACACAACGCCGGTATATGCATGATATTCTACCGTAGGCAGGCATGACGGATTGTAAACCTCTAACTACCCCCGCTTCTGTCACACAACCGGTCAGTAGCTCCACTGATCCCTTCAACAATCCCACACATTATCGACGCATAGAGGGGGCACTTCAGTACCTCACTATTACTCGTCCGGACCTATCCTGCGCTGTCAATCGACTCTGTCAGTTTATGAACACTCCTACCGACGAACACTGGGGGCTCCTTAAGCGCGTTCTTCGTTATATTAAGGGTACACTCGACTACGGCTTACGGCTTTCCTCATCATCATCGTCTGACATTCATGCCTACTCTGACTCAGACTGGGCCGGCTGTCCCGTTGATCAGAAGTCCACTAGTGGGTACGCCGTGTTTTTAGGATCAAATCTTGTTTCCTGGGTCTCTCGCAAGTAGCGCATTGTGGCTCGGTCGTCTACTGAGGCGGAATATAAAGGGCTTGCGGATGTATGTGCCGAGGTCACCTAGGTCATGTCCTTGTTACGGGAACTGGGTCTGAGCTCTTCTACTGCCCCGACTTTGTGGTGTGACAATTTGGTTCCCACCTACCTTTGTGCTAATCCGGTGTTCCATGCACGCACCAAACATGTTGAAGTGGATTATCATTTTTTCCGGGATAAGGTCTCATCTGGTGAACTCCGCGTCAATTTTGGGTCTACCAAGGAGCAGATTGCGGATATCTTTACCAAACCGCTTCCGGCTGTTCGCTTTGGTGTTCTACGTGACAAGCTCAATGTTGTCGCACACCAACCTTGTGCTTGAGGGGGAGTGTTAGTATAAGTTATTATTATTAGTATTGTTGTACAAATATTATGTGGCTTAGATTATTTGATCTAGTCTTAGGCCTATTAGTTAGGTTCTGTATTCTACAGTTTGTTGTTGAATGAATTGATCCTTCCACGCTCATCCAGCACACACGTTAATCACAAGAATGGCCGGAAACAGTATGCTCGAACAGCTCGGTCCAAAGTATATATTAGTAGATTCTGGATAAGAAGACATGATTGAGTTTTGACAACTGCATTGTAGGTGTTTCACCTAATGATGTGGTGGGCTCCTTGTGGGCACACACTACACCTAATGTGGTGGGTTTATTGTAAACACCAAACACTAGTCCTCCCACCTAATGGACCGCTAAATCATCGTAATTTATCCCTTCATTATCCTGTTGGGTTGGGGTGTGGGACCTGAGGGCATGATTGGAGAAACAAATAACAAGCACATAAACCTGGGCGGGTGTGGTTGAGTGGAAAATGACTCATTCATTCTTAACCAAAGGTCAAGGGTTTGATCCTTGGCTTTGGGTATGGAACAACCTCCTTGGCTTTGGATATGGAGCAGCCGTAAATCTCCAGGCCAGCTGTCCCACCCAAAAGAGGTGCCTATAATTCAGCAAGGAAATTAGTGTTCGACGATGGAAACCTTGGGTACACCCAAAAAATAACAAGCACATAATGCACCAATGAAGAAAGAGGCAGAAGATAACAACAAAATTAAACCTGGTAACCACTAACAACAGTTACTGGATTGATTACTGCATGAAGTAACAGACATGACAATAATTGTATTGTGTGAATCAATACACTATGTGACACATACATACAGTATTACATCAACCATGGTGTTGATCTGCAACCACAATAGCTACAAACTAGCTTATTGCAAGAACTCATCAATACTACACTACACACAAAGCATGAAATCAATCAATTTGCATTATTAGTTTATTACCCCATCAACGTAACATTATATTTCTCTCTACCTATCCCGTCACAGGTGTAGGCTAGAATATAATGGATGAAAGCTAGCTAGCTAGCTTTACACAACACACTACATCGGCCTAATTCTTATTCTTCTTGTTCTTGTAGTCTTCCAACTCCTCCAACCACACATCTCCAAACTCACACTCCTTCCAGGCCTCAAACCATGGTCCCCCGAGGGTGTAGTGTATTGCCTTTGGGAGTGTCGCAGGATTCCCCTCCACAACCTGGTTATGCCCTACTAGGAAGTTCCACACAAAGGGCACATCCCCAATCTCTCCATCTTCCAACCACATGAACCTATGCAGAAATGCCCCACACTCAGAATTCACCACCTCTGGTGTCAGCACCCTGTTCTTAGGATGTCCACAGTTGTATACAACCATGGACGACCAGTTCTTCCTAGGATACACTGTCTGCACAGCCCCATCCATTTTGGTGGTCTCTTTTGGGGCATAATCGTGTTGGACACATATCACAGCGTACTTATCATCCGCTAAATCTCTCAGTTCCTTAATGTCGCCCAAGTACAAGAAATCACAGTCCACAAACAAAGCCCACCCCTCGTAATCTGCGAGGTATGGGGTCAAGAAACAGGTGAATGAGAACTCAGTGCTCTCTAGCTTCCCTCTCTCGCGCCAGTAAACCCCTCTCTGTCGCAGCTCAGATTGCTTGATGGGGTGGATTTCAATGGGGATTGAAGATCTTTTCACAAGGGAATGGCGACAAACCTCGTACGCAATGTCCTCCCGGGGATCATACCCTATGAAGATCTTAAACGGCTTCTGGGCGCCACTCTCTGAGTCTGATGATACGCCACCGCCATTGCCGTTGCTCAAACTCTCCCACGACGTCTTCTTCTCCACCTCCAAACCGTTCGTATGCAAATCTTGAAACACCGAAGCTATTACATTCCAAAATCCTCACCTCAAACCTGCAATTCAGACATATAGTAAAATCTCAAGCGTGTACCCAGATTGAGAAATGTGAAAAAGATTGTGGCTTTACCAGTACAGTAGTCAGTCAGATCTTGGGTGGACCGTGGACTAGGACGAGAACAAAACCGCACAAAAACAAAAAACAAAAAAAAAAAAACAAAAAAAAAAAAAGAGCAGAGCGGAGCAGAAAAATATTTTCTTGGCTGGAATTGAAGAATAGAGTCAAAAGATTTCATAATAAGATCAGAGGAGATTCATTGTGATAAGAGGAGGAGGAGGAGGAGGAGGATTTGTTATCACTTATGCTTGGGGGATATATCATATTATCATATATTAAGACTCCACATTTATAGGGGCAGTGATTCTATATATCAAGACGTCAATTTCGGGAGTTATATTTTGGGGCCAACTGCCAAATATATGTACTTATTATTAGGACTATTAGGACTCTATTATCCATATTAGACTGGGACTATATTATTCGTGTTAGACTAAGATTTTATCTAGCATCTCTATATATTCGTTCCCTGTACTCTCAAACATTATTATTGAATACAACACAATTATATTCTCATCTGGTATCAGTTAGCCAGGGTTTTCCTTTCCAACATCCATGTTCCTCACTTCGTAGCAGTAACCGATGGCATCAAACCAAGATACATCGTATCAGAAGCGGTCTGGTCAACGACGTGACGCTGATGATCCGTGTCAAATTTGTAACGGTTTCGGCCACACGGGAGCCAATTGTGTTTGGCGTTATGATGATCCGTGTCAAATTTGTGACCGTTTTGGTCACACGGGAGCCAATTGTTTTTGGCGCTATGATGATCCGTGTCAAATTTGTGATCGTTTTGGTCACACGGGAGCCAACTATTTTCGGCGTTATTCAGGGGCTCCGGGTTTTCAGGCTAATGTGGCCGTCTATGGTGATAATGGTGATTCCAACGGTCCTCATCAGTGGTTCCCTGACACTGGTGCTACAAATCATGCAACGCCTGATTCTTCTTTGATGACTTCTGCGACAAGTTATGATGGCCCAGAGACTCTGCGAGTCGGCAATGGTACAGGTTTGCCTATTGTTAATGTTGGTTCTGCTTCGTTAGCCACTGATTCTATGTCTTTTAAGTTACATGATGTTTTGCATGTCCATGGTCTCTCTTCTTCTCTATTATCTGTCCAGCGTTTTGCAAAGGACAATAATGTTTTCTTTGAGTTCCACCCTCTTTGTTTCTATGTGAAAGACGTTTTGACCAAGAAGGTTCTTTTTAAGGGACATGCGTCTAGGGGTCTCTACACATGGCCTGCGTCTTCTGCTTCCCCTGCTGCATTTGTTGCTGCACGGTCCTCTTACGTTTGGCACATGCGGTTGGGGCATCCTCATTCTCGAGTCTTACGTAAAATTTTAGCGTCTTCGTCTGTTGGTACATTTAATTCTAGGGATCTTCCCAATGTCTGTTCCTCTTGTCAATTAGGAAAATCTTCTCGTTTTCCTTTGTCTCGTGTAGAAACTACTAGTACGCATCCTTTGGAATTAATTTATTCAGATATTTGGGGCCCTGCGTCATTACTTTCTGCGTCTGGCTTTAAATAATTTTGTGTTGTTTGTGGATGATTACACTCGTTATATGTGGTATTATCCCATGCGTGCTAAATCTGATTTGTATGCTATATTTGATAAGTTTCAGTCACTAGTTGAACGTTCCTTTTCTCGCAAGATTATTTCTTTTCAATCTGATTTAGGGGGAGAATATAAAAAGCTTGGTTCCACTCTTGCGTCCTTATGTATTCGTCACAGACAATCATGTGCGTATACTCATGAACAAAATGGCAGGGTAGAACGTAAGCATAGGCATGTTGTTGAAACGGGACTAGCATTAATGGCTCAATCCTCTGTTCCGTCTCGTTTTTGGGATTATGCTTTTGAAACTGTGGTTTATCTAATCAATAAAATGCCCACTCCTGTCTTATCTGATAAATCTCCTCATTATCTTTTGCATCGGTCTCCTCCATCTTATTCATATCTGCGTGTTTTTGGGTGTTTATGCTTTCCAAATCTGCGTCCCTATAATCGCAACAAACTACAGTTTCGGTCATCCCCTTGTGTCTTTCTAGGATATCCTCCATCTTTTCGTGGCTATTGTTGTTTAGACACTAACACTAACAAGGTTTTTATCTGTCGCCATGTGCGATTCGATGAGGCTGTCTTTCCTTTTGTTGCTTCTGTGGATTCGCAGGTTCCAAAACCACGCCCGGAGCCGTGGGGTGTTGCACCAATTGTTTCTGGTGGTGATCCGACTATTGTCACGGCTCGTGACCCTCCTGTCGCGCCCATAGCCGCTTCTGACCATCACCGCCAGCAGCCTGCTACTGCCGAGCCCGTGACCGAGTCCGAGCGGACAGTCACGGACCAATCGGCTCCTCGGCCAAGAGGCCGGCCCCGTGGTCGGTCTCGTCACGCGCCCTCACCCGTTCGCTCTCATGGAATGAATACGAGAAGTTCGGGACCACATGATCATGTTGCTTTATCTGCTGCTGCTGTTACTCCTGAACCTACATGTTTTACTCAAGCGGTTAAATTTCCTGAATGGCGGAATGCAATGGATTTGGAATTTAATGCCTTGGTGCACAACAATACATGGAGGCTTGTTCCCTTTAAATCAGGTATGAATGTAGTTGGATGTAAGTGGGTGTTTAGAACCAAGAGAAAGGCTGATGGTTCGATTGAACGTTACAAGGCTCGGTTAGTTGCCAAGGGATTCAATCAAATTGCCAGCGAGGATTTCTTTGAGACCTTTAGTCCCGTTGTTAAACCGACTACGGTATAGTACGTCTTCTTTTATCCTTAGCTATTTCTCGTGGATGGACTATTCGACAGTTGGACATACACAATGTTTTTCTAAATGTCAATCTCGCTGAGACGGTTTATATGCGCCAGCCCCCTGGTTATGAAGACAAAACGATGTCCGGGCACGTTTGTCTCCTTCAACGTTCTTTATATGGGCTTAAGCAAGCTCCCCGTGCTTGGTTCACTAGTTTGCATGATTTTCTGGTTTCTGCTGGTTTCTCACCTTCCAAGACGGATGTCTCTCTATTTATATATTCACATGGCAATACTCGTTTATATTTTCTGGTTTATGTGGATGATATTTTGGTTATGGGATCTGATCCGGCTCATGTGACTGCTCTTATTGACAAGTTGGCTCTTGAGTTTAAAGTTCGTGATATGGGTGTGCCCTCATTCTTTCTGGGTATTGAGACCATTCCGTTGTCTGATGGCATGCTTATGTCTCAACAACGGTACATGAAGGATATTCTAAAACGAGCAGGTATGGTTGATTGCAAGTCCGTGGCTACTCCGATTTCAACCACGAAGGCCGAGACTGATGCCGTGGTACCATACGCTGATCCCACTCAGTATCGCAGCTTTGCAGGTGCTCTGCAATATCTTACGGTAACTCGGCCTGATCTTTCCTATGCAGTCAATCGTTTGTGTCAACACATGCACTCTCCCTCTACTGCGGATTGGGCGGCTCTCAAGAGGGTGTTACGGTATGTAAATGGGACACTACATCTTGGTCTTAAGATTACGTCTTCTCCTTCTCTAGATATTCATGCATATTCTGATTCGGATTGGGCTGGCAATCCTGATGATCGCAAATCTACTAGTGGTTTTGCTGTATTTTTGGGGACCAATCTTGTCTCATGGGTTTGTCGAAAACAACGTACTGTGGCTTGTTCATCAACTGAGGCTGAATACAAAGGACTGGCTGATGTCTCTGCAGAGGTTACTTGGCTCGTCTCTCTGATGAAGGAAATCGGGTTTGCGCCACCTTCTGTGCCCAAACTCTGGTGTGACAATCTGGGAGCTACTTATCTGTGTGCTAATCCGGTGTTTCATGCTCGCACCAAGCACATTGAGATCGACTACCACTTTGTTCGTGATCAAGTCGCGAAGAAGGAATTACAAGTCAATTTTATTTCTACCAAAGATCAGATAGCGGATATTTTTACTAAGTCTCTTTCGTCTGTACGTTTTAATTTACTTCGTTGCAAGCTCAATGTTTTGGCTGACCAACCTTGTGCTTGAGGGGGAGTATTAGGACTATTAGGACTCTATTATCCATATTAGACTAGGACTATATTATTCGTGTTAGACTAGAATTCTATCTAGCATCTCTATATATTCGCTCCCTATACTCTCAGACATTATTATTGAATACAACACAATTATATTCTCAATCCTTATTATTATATGGTTTATACAAAATCCGGATAATACATGCTTGGCTAGTATTTTGATAATCGAGGACCAAATTGGTGAAATCCTCATAGTCGAGGGACCAAATTGGTAATTAACTCTTTGGACAATTTAGGTCCCTTAACTTTTGAATTCTTTCCAATGTTGGTCTTTCCGTCAAATGAAGGTTAAGTAGATGTTAAATGTAGGGGTAAAGTAGTCTTTTCACCTGCTTAGTGTATAATTACTCATATTTCTCCCTTGTATACGCGATATATATGAAGGTAATAGGGAACGACGAGGAATATTCTAGGGCTTCGACTGAGATTATCTTTGTATATATCGCGTATACAAGGTAGAAATATGAATAGTTATGCACTAAGCAGGTGAAAGGACTACTTTACCCCTTCATTTAACGTCCACTTAACCTTCATTTGACGGAAGGACTAACATTCGAAAGAATTCAAAAGTCAAGGGACATAAATTGTCCAAATTAAAAGTCAGGGACTAATTGTAGAAAATCAATATAGTCGGAGGACCATTGCTGGAATTAACTCTTTCTCAAATTGGTCCCTTGACTATTAATCTCCCCAAAATGATCCTCTGTTAGCTTTGGCATTAAGCTGGTTTTAAAATGAAGGGTAAAACTGGAAATTTAGGTTTTGCACTCCAATTTAAAGCAATATGTGATTCCTTTCAGTAGTCTGATATTTCTCCAAATTATGTTTTTGCTCTCCTAAATCTGCAATCAAAATGTGGGATAATCAACTAGAAGGCCAGAAATCTTTGCCTTGGGAAGTTTATGGATGAAGTTGAAGATGAACTTTTTTGACCTTCTAGTTGATTATCCCACATTTTGATTGCAGATTTAGAAGAGCAAAAACCTAATTTGAAGAAATATGTGCGCGAACTACTAAAAGGAATCACAGATTGCTTTAAATTAGAGTGCACAACCTAAATTTCCAGTTTTACCCTTCATTTTAACACCAAAGCTAACGGATCACCATTTTGGCGTTAAATTCAAAAGTTGGAGGACCACTTTGGGGAAATTAAAAGTCAAGGGACCAATTTGAGAAAATGTCATAGTCGGAGGACCATTTTGGGAATTAACTCCTAATATAAATTTGGTTAACTCCTAAATCTGCAATCAAAATGTGGGATAATCAACTAGAAGGCCAGAAATCTTTGCCTTGGGAAGTTTATGGATGAAGTTGAAGATGAACTTTTTTGACCTTCTAGTTGATTATCCCACATTTTGATTGCAGATTTAGAAGAGCAAAAACCTAATTTGAAGAAATATGTGCGCAAACTACTAAAAGGAATCACAGATTGCTTTAAATTAGAGTGCACAACCTAAATTTCCAGTTTTACCCTTCATTTTAACACCAAAGCTAACGGATGACCATTTTGGCGTTAAATTCAAAA